GCACGGAGCTTGTCTCAGCTAGAAGTCACTTTTAGACTTTGCATAGCTTACGGGTGGAGTCATAGTTTAATAGTTCCAGTCAGTTTTGCCTTAGATATTTTTTTGTCTTTTGCATAGAATGCGTATTACAAACAAGAAAGCTGTACGCTTCTCTCCCCTATGGGCTCCACACCCCCTCATATTTGTAATTAATGAGACCCTTAGTTCAGTTCAGTGTTGTAATGTAAGCAATTGTACAAATCAATGTCAGTGCAATCGCTGTGGTTGGAGTTCTTTGGGATTCACTCATTTTCTCTGCATTGCTCATTCTCCTTTCATGTTGGGTTCAGCATTTTCCTGTCATTTAATACATGGTGTTCTTGAAATATTTGAGTTCAAAGAAAGGAGAAATCCATTATTTGGCTGTTAAGACTCATTGGGGTGAATGTGGAAATGGGGATCAGAGTAATTTACTTTCAGAGCACACCTGTAGTGCAATAAAATAATTTGCATAGAGTGCGCTGTACACTGTTCAAGGTTCAAGGATTTGTAAATATGTTTTTCTGCAATGCTGGGTTTGCTCCCTTGCCAGGCCATGGTTTTTTCTGGTACCACCATGCGCTCAGATTAGTCAGGCAGCCAGGACAAATGAGAGGACCAGAACAGCTGAGCTCTGGTGACTGCAAAGTGGCCAGGATGTGGCTTGGTCTGAGCTCCTCCTGACTCCAGCAAGAGCTTCATTAAGAGAGGCCTTCAGGCTTTGGGCTCTGACCATCTGATATATCGAATATAGGTGAAAGAGCTTTTTCTTTTTTTTTTTCCTGGGTGCACTCATGCCCTCTAGTAGGACTCTCTCTGAAAAGAATGCTGCTTAGCACCAATGCACAACTATATTTAACCTTGCTGTTTGAGTAGAGTGTTGTTTGATTCTGCTTATAACTGTGCCATGTTCCTGGTAGTGTTTTAAGATTGTAATTCAAAGGTGTCACATCTTTAGTGGAAAAAACTAGGAATGTGTGTACAGATACCTGCAACGCACACACAAGGGTGCAAATATGCGTATACACATATGTATACGTATATACACACAGAACATTTCATGTGTGCTTTCATTCAGAATGTACCACGTCTTATTCAGTACAGAGACATATCCTAAGACTTTTATTTTGTTTTCCAACATCTCAACTTAGTTAGAATCCCTTTTTAGCATGGTTTCCTGAGGAAATGAGGCTTTTGTGGTTATTTTGTCTGTGCGTTGGCTTTTGCAATTGGCCTGTAACAATCTTTGAGTCCCATTGCCAATTTTAATTAAATTTGATATGGGGTGGAAATCTCAAAGATATGAAGTTCCTTCAGGATTAATGAAAACAGGCTGCCAAGTAGAGGAGAAAAATCTATTAATACCCTGTCTGAAAGAAGGAGTGAAGCTTGAGCTCACTCCTTTAAGACAACGAGATATTATGAATGCCCCAACCGTGGGAAAAACTTCAATCAGCGCTCACATCTTACTAGACACTCGAGAATCCAACCACAAGATACACATTCATAGGAAACCAGGCTTCATTAGTTCCACCGTTCACTTTGATATATGGCATACGATTAAAAGAAAACTGAACATATTATGTGTCCTTCCCCTTGAGGCTTCACACCCTTTAACCAGGTTTGTCTGTACACAAGGGAGACTTGAGGATTTGGCCCCAAACTAATGAAGAGCACGCCCGTTCCAATATCCTGACTCGAAATCTTTCCAAGTATGAGATGAGACGCTGCTCTAAGCATAAATCTGTCATGAACTTGTATCAAAGAAAGGCATATACTGGATGAAACGAAGAAAATCACAATTTCATTTTCATAGAAAAAATATTCTTGAACATAATGTGCACACTTCCAAGCAAATTCATGGAAGTTATGTTAGTGGAACTTTATATTCACCCTGAACAAAGTGCTAGAAGTCATTTCCAAATAAGCAACGCTCTTGCATTAAGATACGGGAGGTGACATGGCAATTTTCAAGTTAAAAAAAAAAAACCAACCCAGTACCTTGAATAACACCCATAACTTTGGGAAAGTTTGAGTCAAAGCTGAATGTAGTTCTGCGCCAGCAGTTACTGCTGTATCACGATTTATTCTTCTTGTGAACAGCTGTTCCCACAAGTGATGTGGAAAGATAAGTTATTTTGGTTAAAATAACTTGTATAGCTTTCAGAAAGAGGATGTACTGATTGATTAATTTGCAAAGTAAGTTCCACGTACATTGTCTGAAAATACTATTAATGTTGTAAGGAATACTGTGAAGAGCAATTGTGTGCTGGACTATGACAGGGGAATAAGATTTCAAGGGAACATGTCAGGAATCAGAATCTGGGAAAAGGCTATCAGAGTGCTTCTACTCAGGCTTTGATGTGTTCTGCTTTCTGCTGGAAACTATGCAAGAGTTAATTTTTTGTTTATTTAACTTTCTATAGCTTTAACCAAAGTGTCATAGTGTCTTTTGGTTTAGAAATTCATCTGATTAGTTAGGAAGAAAATAAAACAAGAATTTACGTGAGTAGAGTTTTCAGAGCAAAGGTACACAGGGCCTTGAACATGAAAAACATTTCAGATTGTGAGCATACATTTTCTTAGACACATTTTTATTTTAATGCCTGAACAAGTATCGGGCATTAAAATCGTGTGGAATTCCATAAACTGTAGAAACTGTTTAAAATGACACAACACATGTGAATCCTTGATGATCTCTTCTGAAAATCTGACTTGAGATCTATCGGTTGAAATTCAATATTAAATGCCTAATGTACTTTTTTAAAAAGAAGAAAACTTACAAACTATGTTCTTAGGAGAGTTCTGTTAATCCTCAAGCTTTATGGTTTTCCCAGCATATCTGGTATTCTACCTCACCTTTATTTGATAATGTAGTAAGTTTTGTATCATGAATACTTCACTTGTATAAAATCTTAAGAGCATAATTGAGCCTTAAATGATTAAAAAACGAGTCAGTGAAATAAGTAATTTGATAAATCTTTCAGTCTGTATCTGCTCAGAGGAGTGAGTATGTATTTACTTTCAACATGCATTATCACTGAAAAGCATCCATCTCAAGTGTATGAGATAAATGATATTCATGTTTTATGCTGAACACAGTCAGTGTAAGAAAATGAAATGTTTCCTGACCTCAGAGTACCAAGTCACTTGACTTTAACACAGGGCTAAAAACGTCTTCCTTTCTAACTTGCATAAACTTACTGACTGATACCCCGTCATCTTTTATTTGGCCATGGAGTTTAGCCATAGGGGGACGATAGGTATAGCTCAATTGCTGACATTTTGTAACATCACATATCTGATGTAAGAAAAAAAATTTCACCAGTCGTCACTGAATCACAGATTTGTTAGAATTAAGAGTGGAAAGCATTATGTCATTCTATGTAGCAGAAAAAAAAGGGCACTGAAGTAGGGTATACTGTAAAGGATTATTCCCTGTGACACATTTCTTAAGGCTTTGGATTTTTAAGTGATTCTCAACAACCTCTCTCCATTTATAAATGTATATAAATGTGGAGTCAGGGAAAAGAGGAAAAGAGACTCTCCTTAAAGTACGCACATTTGTAACTTTTACGAATGTCATCATTTATTGCAAATGATGGAGGAATGTGTCAGATCTTTTTCAGGCAGTTCTTTCAAGGCTGCGACTGTTCCTCATGACTACTTCTACCAAAAATGTTCTTGGTATGAGCTTGTAGGGGTCTGACAGGGCACTCAGTTTTCTCATCCTCTTCAGTGTGGAAGGGGCCAAGACCATCATTTTTAACTTTCATAGGTGCATTTTTTTATTTCAGCCTCTCTGTAATTTCAGATTGACATCTAGCAACTTTCACGTGCCCTGCTGAGCTCTAAAAGTTTCATTCTTACAGTCTCCATGGCTTTTGATTTAGAAGGTTTTTGAACAACAGTTTGTTCTGTGTGTACTTATATAACAGCACTGTTCTGAAACCTTTGTATTAGTTAAAAATTACTTTTCTAAACTCTTGAAGAGTGTTCATGCTGTGCGGTTATAATGTGTATTTATAAGCTTGCAACTTGAAACCATTGAAAGATAATTAAAAAGTCATGAGTATCTGTAGTTGTGGAGTTTTGTCTATGTTCACTGAAATGATTTAACGTGCGATAAATATGTGACATTTTTCTAAAATACCATCCAAGTAATTTTGCTCAAACATGTCTAACCAAATAAAAAGAACAGTTTTGCCCATGATGCTAAAGCTAACATAAGTAGAAAGGAAAATTTGTGTCATTTGTCTCATTTTTGAGATCTTTGACTGCCCAGTTCTTCAGTGGTTCCAAATGTAGGATCTGTGTATCTGCAGCTGAGAATAGGTTAGGGACACTGTTGACACAGATCAGAAAGAAAATGAGCAAGCTAAGAAAATATTCCCTGTAACATTACCTCCCTGTAGCATTTAAACCTGTGTCCCTCTGTGTGAAGGAGTTTCTCAACATGAGTTCTTACCATGAGTTCTTGTATAGTTTAATTTGCAGTTATTGAAAAATCTTTCTCCTAAAAAAAAAAAAAAAAAAGAAGAAGAAGAAGAAAAGGAAATCCTATTTTAAACACATTTCTCTTTAAATCTAAAAAAAAAAAACAACCCAACAAAATGTCAAACAACTTTGTTTTTCGCTTCTCAAAGCTTGGCAGTTTTCCTGTATTGCTCTGTCAGGATCCTTGTCTTTTCATTCGGCTTCATTTCTGATTACGGATTATTCATTTATGGATGGGCAGCTGTAGAAACTTGCTTCTTGCATATGCAAATCAAGCATGGTAATGTTTATCATAAAGAGATTTTGTGGCAGCTGAAAAGGGGTTGTGGCAACATGTTCTTGATTTCAATTGTATCTTCTACAAATGGAATTGGCTTGCTCACTTCACCTTCAGTGGATTTTTTTTTTTTTTTTTTTTTTTTTTTTTACCATTTACCTTTTGGACTAGACACTGCTCACTAAGCAAGCTGTTCAATTCACTTACAGATCATGATTTTAGAAGGAGCTGGCAGAATGAGTATCAATTCCAGCAGCAACCTACTCCACCAGCAGCCTTCCTGGACAGATGGATATTCCACGTGCAATGGTAGGAGGAATTCAACAGCACTGAGCTATGTGTTTTTATTTTTTTTTGGTGGGAGAGGATAGGCAGGGGTGGAAGGGACTACTTAACCCTTAAATATGCACAAGTATTGCTTTTCAGTGATACTAGTTTGCTAGAGTTTCACTTCATGTTGGAAAATTTCCGTTTGTATTTTCTTTGTAAAAGCTGAACTCACAAAACTTAAATTTCTGAAAGTGACCAGTTTATGGCTTATCTATTACTGCTCCTCTTTTGTTAAAATGAATTTCAAGATAGCAAAAGAGTCAAATGTTCCCTCTCCTCAGTCCAGAATTCTTTCTCTGTCACATTTACCCCTCATGCCCTCTCTGAACCAACATCACTCTTCAGCACTAATCACCCCTCCGGCTTTGCAGGGGAGTAGTCATTTTGCTCCTTCACTGTATTTGCTTTTTCAGCTCAAATTACTAGATAGCTATCTAATTAGACTGGCGTTAGGGCACTAGATAGCTTGTGATCTGAGAACTTCTTTGTTATGAACAGAACCATCTCTTTAATTCCATATATGCCTTCTAATGCCTAAGAGCTAGTGATGACTTTTGCACCTAAATTAACTTACAAGGTGTCACACAGGGTGAAATTTATTATACTATTCTTGTGATGGTATAGCTGCACAGATACACATTCTCTCTATATATAAAAATGTAGATACAGATGCATAGATAGATATGCAGTGTTTCATCTAATTTTATTTTCCTCACCCAAAATAGTGCTTTGGAATCAATGTGTAAACCTTAAAATCTAAGCAAACGTGTTGCAGTTGTTCTTCTAATCTACGGAATGGTACAAAAAACTTACAGCAAAAGTTCCTATTCAGTGAAACTCTTGTGTTTGATTTTTTTTTTTTTTTAATGTGTAATTTCTAAATACAAAGAAATACAAAAGTGAGCTTTCAGTAAATGTACCAAGCTGCCTATAAGCTGCCTGTAACAGAATAATGGAAAAAAAAAGTCTTGACTGATCTTGCACAGGGTCTCATAAAGATATGGATTTGGATTTCCCATTGAGAGATCCTCAAGGATTCATATGTCTTTTGGAGTTACAGGAAATTGAAAGCATAGACCATCTTCTACAGTTATCTACCTCCTCACGTCCATTTACCATGCTAACTCCTTTCTCTTACTAAAGACTTGTGCTTACATTAGAGAGTCTGAAAATTCTTGACTCTTCTGAAATGATGGGAATAAATATCAGCCTCCTTTTCAGGAAATGCGTCTTAGTTCCTTCAAACCTTCACTTGCCAACATACCAAAGTCTTAGTCATTTCTGTACTCATTCCCCTGATCCTTCAACAGCAGGATGAGCAACATCTACCTAAAGCACTGACGTGGAATTTGCTGGCCGGCGTTGATAAAGGAACATAAGTAACTGTGGGCTTATTTTGTGTCCACCCATGAGCTCACACTGTGCATTGCATCTCATCCGAAGAGACCTGAGGTCTAGCTGAAACAATTTCCTAAAATGTGCCAGCTCTGTTGCTTGTAGTATTTTAGCCATACCGCTTGTTACTCGTATTTCTCACAGCTGTGTGTGAAGGACCAGATTGGTACCAGTGAGAGAAACAATGTGCTAGAGCAGAGCTAACTCAGAGCTAGACCACGGCAGTCTTTCCTTTTCCCATAATTTAACCACCTCTGCAGTCTGTAATTCTTTCATCCTTAAATGAACCTTCTCACTCTTCTGAACATTTTATCATGCCGCTGTCTCTGCCTGGCCTTCCCCACTGTCCTCCTTTCCCAAGGAATAAATTGCACTGAACTCCTTTAGCTAGCTTCTCTGAGAGGCTGGATCAAGGCAGTCCTACCTTTGTATATCTTACATCTTATCTTATCTTGTGTAATTATCCTGTCCCCGCATATGTTTCCTTTCATTTGTACACATAAATTATTGTCATGCAGTGAGATACAACTGAGAGTGGTTTGAAAGACTGACCAAGAAAAGATTCAGACATCCTAAGAAGAAAATTAGGTAGTTCCCTTAATTTCAAAATGAGTTTTACAATTATATTCAGAAATCATCTTATGAGACTACAAAGAAAACATGCATTTGTTAGAAGGTCAGCTCTGCCCTGATATTGTAGGCCGTAGTGATAGATTTTTATGTTAGAGCAATTTAAGAGTGCCTTGTCTTTAGTGTTCGTTGGCTGAATTCCACAATTCACATTCAGTCTTTATACAAACAAAATTTCCACTGCTCATTATGTGGATTTTGCAAGGCTTTTCCATCGTTTTCTTATGCACTAATACACTTTTCCCACGAACAGATCAACTCTCCTTTGCGATAGTAGTTCTGCAGTTTATCTTGCTCCAAAGAATTTTTGGTATATTTAGCCAACATTACTAAATTCATTTCTACTCATTCAACTTCTTAAGAGAGGTGTAAAGTAATATCTTTTATTTTCAATTGGAAAACAGAGTAAAAAAAAAAAACAACAAAAAGATGTTTTTCTCCAGCAGTAGCTAATGTTAAAGACTGAAAAGAGTCTAAGTTTGTGGACTTCCAGGGTGTGAAATTTACATATATAACTTTTCTGTCCTCAGCATAATACCATGGTGTTAACAGACCCAGTTAATACTCATTTTCTTCTCCAGTGTCCAGCAGTTTCTATGGAACCCAGTGGCATGAAATACATCCTCAGTACTGGACGAAGTTTCAGGTCTGGGAGTGGCTGCAGCATCTCCTTGATACCAACCAACTGGATGCCAACTGCATACCTTTCCAGGAGTTTGATATCAACGGGGAACATCTGTGCAGCATGAGTCTGCAGGAATTCACTCAGGCAGCTGGGACAGCAGGGCAGTTGCTTTATAGCAACCTTCAGCACCTAAAATGGAACGGTAAATAGACAGTAAGCTACACAGACAGAGATGCATTGTATTTTGGAATCTTCAGAAGCCACTTCTGAAAACTACCTGGCAAATCTCATTTGCTTTTTGCTATATTGTTTATACCTCACTGACTATATTATTGTATCATCACCTATGTCATGTATAAGGATCAAGGGGAAGGGTTTGTACTCCACTCCACAATTAGCTATCTGGCTCAACTGCAGTGGTTTGTGCTTGGAACTGTATCTTTAATTCTTTTCTGCTTGTTTTCTCATGTCCTATCTGCCATATGCTTTCTTGCAGGTCAGTGTGGAAGTGACATGTACCAATCTCATAACGTCATTGTGAAGACAGAGCAAACAGGTAAGTAATTGTTGGGTAACTGATCTTTTTATGGGGAAAAGGGGAAGTTGGCCATTCCAAGAAAGAGAGAGATCACAACAGCATTAATTGCAGTGGTGTTTCACGCAGATTTAAAGAGATAACACAGGTATCAGTCAATCATTTTTTTGAATCTTCAGGTAGCACAGAATACCTTCTCATGTGGTCACTTTTGCTGGAAGAATAACACCACCTGCCTACAGTAATGTTCAGAGTTAGTATAGTGTGCAGTGGTCAGAAAGTGCAGCTGTATAGAGAACATCATTCTTTGCTTCATTCAGCAGATTGCAAAATAATTCACAAAATTTTAAGTTGTTAGTTTTTTTCTTAAAAGGAAAAATATTTTGCGATGAAGTGCTGTTAATGCTTTGAAATGTGAGGAAATTTCCAAGCCAAACATATTTGAGTAAAAAAATTAAAAATGTTACATTTCAATTTCTTCATGTTTCGATTAAGCTGAAATTCGTGGTTGTATTTTGCGTCGACCAAGTCTGCAGTTTTCCTGCAGCAGTCCCTTACTCCAGTGTATTCATAGCTAGATGCTTTTCTTGCCAGGGCCTTGTTTCTCCAGGGAAAGAGAACTTCAGCTTGGCTCTGTGCACTCTGGGCACAATTATTGTGCCAGTTCCTTTTACCAGGACAGCTCCATCTATATCTGAACATTGCCTATCACACTGGTCCCCGCATCTTTTTCTGTAGATGTATTCATTAGCCACATTTTAGTATTTCCTGACAGCAGGAGTATAAACTCGTAGTGTGAGGTGTCTCTGACAAATACTCCAGCCAGTTCATTCAGTGAACATGGAGGATCACAGCCTCCCCAGCCAGGGACACTCTTCACCTTCTTCTTGCAGCAAGCAAGCATTGCAGTCCACTTCCTGCCCGTGCCCGTATGGTATGGGAGGCATGCATGCAGCGGCCTTGATGCTTGCCCTATAAGAAACCACAGTAATTCTTTAAGTCCTGATTTATGAGATCCTGGTATAATGTTAGTCTCTCCTTCCAGTAGAGATACACAGGGCTCTGCACAGTACCTCTGCCACACATCCTGGAGAGATCAAAGCCCACCACTGACTAGTGCTACTCACTGTGCCTCGTGGTAGGGTGGTGTGGACTGGTGCAGACTGGGACTCCATGTGAGCTGGCAGGGATGGGCTGGTGGTTTTGGGGGGAAAGCCTGCCTTGTAGGCACTGAAATAGGATGAAATGTGAAGACAAACTGTCTCCCCGTGTTCCGGCTGGCTAAGGCCTGTTTTCAGAGGCAACACTGGGCAGATCAGGTGTCCAAACAAGCAAAGGGTGTGTGCTATTGTAAGAGCACAAGCTCTGGGTGCCCAAACATGCAGCTATTACTTAGCATGCCTGCTAAATTCCTATGTCATAAGTGGTAACTCAGCCAACCATGATTATTTAGCTATAACTCTTTTTTTTTCCCCCCATTTATGTGAACATGAAAAAAAATAAGTAAAACATGGATTTGAACTTCAGATCTCATCCTTTCTGAGCTTGAGTTCAAAAGAAAAATAAATGTTTAAAGCTTCTAACCTCAAAAATGCACTGTTAAAAGAGTAATTTCCTGCTCACTGTACAGCTTATAAAGACAATACTTCTGTATGTATTGATCCACCTGACCAGAAGGTCACTAAGTCGTATTACTCTTTAAGCTTACTAGTGGCTTTTGGGTTAAGGGTGGGGACTTACGTGCCAGAATAACGTGGTTATGCTTTGATGTTTCTCACCATGTGCTTACACATGAAGCTCTGTCTCGGAGGGGACTTTCGAGTTCCACTATTATAGAAATAAATACTAATTATAAGCATTCTCTTGTTCTACTAGATATTTGAGAGCACTTTCATTTTCATGGCACCAAAGAACTGTCACAGAATTAGAGAATTAGGGTAGAATTAGAGCTGTTCTGACATAGGAAAATTCATTCAAGGGCAGGCATAAGTGGTGTCGTAGGAAAGGGAAAAGGTGGCTACGTTATTTTGTAAGTCAGTGCTTTGTGTAAGTATGTTTGCCTGTGTATGCAAACCCTAAACCACAGTTTGAGAGAAAGTAGTTTTTCACTTAGCCCCTTCAATTCTCAGTTCACTGTTCCTTCTGCACGTTTCTTACTGCTTTGTCTGTCTGTGCTCAATATTCATCTTTATGATCTTTTGTTGATCTAATTTTCCTTGTTGTCCTTCACCTTCAGATCCATCATTAATGGTGTCCTGGAAAGAAGACAATTACCTGTATGACAGTGGCTATGGTAGCACAGTAGGTAACTACCTTCACCATATTTCATGCTTTTCTGAAGTAGCTATATTGTTGTCAGAGGACATTACTTTAAATGTTTTCTTTTTAATTCCCAGAGCTATTGGACAGCAAAACGTTCTGTCGTGCTCAGATCTCCATGACGACACCGAGTCACCAGCCTCCTGGTAAGGAACTTGTAATTATATTGTTAATTGTTGCTTCTCCCAAAGCTACTGACATACAATAGTCTCCGTGGTCTCCTGTTGCAGGATTGAATCTGAGCCTCCAGTCATTTTATACAAGCAGTACTGATTCTGACAACTCTTTTAGCTATCATTAGTACCGTAGTTTCTCTCTTCCCTCTGTCAGGACAAAGAAGATCAAACAATCTGCTGCCTCCACGTATCTTTTAAAGTGACTGAGTTAAAGGAGAAGATGTTAGTGTCAGAGAGACAAGATGTTCCAGCTCAGGCATCTGCTTTTCTGTGGGGTAGCCAAGTGTGGGCAAATAATAGTCATATTCCTCCCCAGAAGCGGCTGCAGTTCCCTGCTGAGCTGGTCGTTCATGTCAAGTAGGTTTGGGGGCATGCTGGGGGCAGCCGCTGGGCAATGTAGGGCAGGCCCGGAGCCCCCTGCCTACTCCCAGCCCAGCCTGTCCCCAGGCAAGCCCAGCACACCATTTCACCCCTTCTCAGAGCTCCATGAGGCCACAGGAGAGATATGATCTGTCTGCTAAAGGGCAGGAAAAAGAGCAAACCCATTTGATGTAGCGCCCATTGAAACTGCGGGCAGGGCACACATGTCGGGGTGCTCTGCAGGGCACGTCCTGCTGCAGGCAGCGGGATGGAGGCAAGAGCGAGGCGGAGGGAAGAGGGAATCTGAGGTCATGAGGCAGCAAGAAAGGGGGAAGGAAAGGCACGGTCGTCTTAGAAGGCTTTCAGGCAGATAGGCCTGAGGGAGACAAGTAAAAGTTGTGGGGTAATGAGGGAGGTGTGCTGCAGGGGATGTGGCCTCACAGGCTCTGTCTCTGCAGAGCGCTGCGGGCTGTAGAGCTGTGACTGCCCTGTGCCCACTGCGCCCCTGCCTCCCAGCACCACTGGGCTTGCTACTGGGGCGTGTGGCTTAAATGAATGCATTTGGCAATCGATTTAATAAGAGAGAGAAAACCTAACTTGAGAAAGAAAACCACCAAACCTTAAAAAGAAAAGAAAAACCAGCCAACACCAAAACCCCCACTGTGTTTGCTTTCTCTGCTGCCTCCACCCACTCTGCTAAGATGGCTGCCAGGAGTTCAGAGCGCTCTGGTGGGACTGGGGACCTGTCAAGCTCCTGGTGTGGTGTGTTTACCTGCTGACTGCTTGAGCCTAGAGCAAGGGTGGCACGCCAAGGGCACAGCCTCCTGTAAAAACTAAATTTGTATATCCCGTAAAGAATATGGCTCATTCCTGAATCATATGCAAATACCCTGCAACCTTTTGTCACAAGTTTTGCAAGACAGCTTTGTTGAAACTGCATTGTAACTCTTTTCATCTGTCAGGCCCCAGCCTCCCAACACGGCGTGTTTGAAACCGGTCTCCATGAGAGGGAGGCAGAGCGAGAGGCTGTGTACACAGCTGAAATCCAGAGTAAATCACCAGGCAGGCAGAAGGCAACTGAATCTCCAAGAATAAATCTCCAGCTAAACAGAGCATAACAAACATTTGCGAGCAAACTGTGGGATTTTAAAATGGAAAGGATTTAAATAAGAGGGCAAATAAAGGACCTGGTCCTGCTGTCCTCACCAGGAGTTCCCACAGGCTTTTAATAACATCGGGGGATCGTAATCTGAGGAAAGGCAGTGAAATATGCCTCATTTTACTTTTTCCCCCCAAGCTGAGTAAGGTTCAGGCTGGTTCCTGCTCTTTGAGAGTGGGAAGGCAAAATGATTCAGAGTGCTTTTGCTGCTCCGGAGGTCAAGGACAGTAATTATGTCAGCTCAGAGCAGGGGAGGTTGGACTTATCCTCTCTGCCCTGCTCGGGGTACATATCCAGTTATGTATGAATAAAGTGAGTGTGTGAATAGCTTTGCATCTACCTTTTCACATGCAGTTATTGCAGTTGCTTGTGCAAATCCAACAAGTTTCTATGCAAATGAATATTTCCTGTGAGTCATTTGCACATGCAAATGTCCCGTTTCCATGAAAAGTATGATAATCTTGCATTCATAGAAGCTGGGAAAACGTGCGTGGGACCTTCAGCTTTGCTTTGTGGCATTCAGGCACGAAGCAGGCCGAAAAGCAAATAGAGGAGGGCCTCCCTCTCGGGACGGTCCCACAGATTTTGTGAGACCTCGGAGCTGTAGAACGGGATGCAGTCAGGCTGCCAGGAGGGGGACGGCAAGGAACAGACAGAACTTTTCTTTTTCTTCATTTCTGAAGAAACGTTTGTGCCAGAAATCCGATTCCTCCTGGGGCTGGCTGCAGGTGATAAAGCACCATCAATGAGAAATGGCTTGTTTCTGTGGCTCCGAGCCATGGAACAATATATGCACGTCCAGCTGCCAAAACCTCCTACCAGTGCAGTCCCGCTCCCTGCCCCCCAAACAACCGCGCTGTGCCAGTTCATTATGTTTTAGTCAGGTAGGTGTTCTGTGCATAGGTACCAGCGCATATATTTCACATTAGATCATCTCTTCGGAAACAAATAAGCCCCCAAAGATACATGCTTCTGCAAAGACTAAGACATAATGGGACAATTCAGGCTTCCTTTTATAGACGTGATTCTCTTATTTTTCTCTCTCTCACACATAGCATGGGGTGAGGTATTTGTTAATCTAATTTAGGTTTCAAAAGCTAAATGTTTACCTCTGTGTTCATTCTTTATTCATCAATGGTCTCTTTGTGAAGTGTGCTGATTACCATACAGTACAGAAAACAAAACTCTCCCCCTTCCTTCTCCCTTAGATTGCCTTCTGAAAAGTGATTATCTTTAAAAGAGATATTCGTTCTTTTTTGTGGTTTTATTTCTTTCAACCTGCTAGTCAATGGAAAACCTTTAATCAAATTTACAAATAGGCTTCATTTTCCTCTCTACAGATTCTTCAGATGTGAAAAAAACACAAGATCATACCCCAAAGTCCCACACCAAGAAACACAGTAAGTCCATGGTTATAATGGTTATAACATCCGTGGTTTATAATGGTTGTTTGATTGAGGGAAAAGAAACACATTAAGAGTAGATACCCATTGGGAAGAAAAAGGGAGCATTCTGAGTTCATTTTGAAAGCAGAACTGGTTAGATGGTTACTCTGATATTCTCTGAATATATATATACTCTGAATTCTCCAAGGATCTGACTGTTTCTGGTGCTGTTTGCTCACATTATTTTTGATGCAGTAGTTCTGCACTTTTCTAATTGTTTTTATCAGTGAGAGCCTAGAGGGAAACCACCAGAATTCAGTTTCCTCCACCCTCTGTTGAGCTGAGCTGGTGATCTGGAATATAGGGATGACAAAGGAGGTGGTGGACTAAATAAGTGAGGTCTGTACGCAGGCCCTGCTGTGCCTGTGCCTGCCAGGTGCAGCAATGCCAGAGATGCAGTTCCGCATCTCCTCCCAGAGCTTTTCATGCATGCCATCACGAGCAAACACCTGCCCCCTACTCCTATAGCTACCTTTTCTTCTGATACAGCAGTCTTTCTGCTCCCCTCATCCTCTTTTTCTGCTAGTTTTGATTCAGCTTGAGTCTGAAGACAGATTATCACATCTGTGATTCATAGACACCATTCTCTTAATGCATTTTACTGGGATTTCAAACCTGAAAATAACATGCATATGTTTTTTTTTCATCCTGTGTTTATAATAGAGCATATTAATATTTGTTCTTTGATGTGCATTGCAGTGTTCAATTTAATCCTATTTCTGCAGTCTCCAAATTAGTTTTCCTTCATGACTTCTCTTCTTATCCTGCTTTGTGACTTTGCTCATTCAGAACTCCAGAACTTTTATCTGCACGGACTTTTTTTGTGTTGTTGTGTGTGTGTATCAAGATTGCTAATGAAGAGATTAAGTAGGAGTGGTCTGAAGACAGACCTGAGAAGAACCCCATCATAGTCTTGGCATAAAGTAAAGGTTACTTTGCCATGCTGGGCTAATCCCCTATATTTCCAGTTGTACCATTATCTATACAGTCTGTTGCTGATGTCCAGATAGACTAGATCCACCACATTTTGTTCCTTCTAGAAAGCAATTATCATAGCAAATACTGGATTAGTTGACTGAAAGATACTGATGTTACCTGTATACCAGTTTCTATTTAACACTGCATCTCTGCCGAGGTTGTTTCCTTCTTACTTTGGTCTAAAGCCTTCCATGCATTTGAAAGCAAACCAAAGGACAAATGTTTTCTGGCCCACCTTGTCACTGTTATTCTTCATTCATATACCACAACATCTCACTTGTTTGGCAGTATGTTTGTTTTCCTTCTTCTGCCTCGGCTTTCTCGTGTCATCTCTACAATAGCTGGATTAGAGTTGTGCTTAAATAGGGCCTCCATATTGAACTTGGATGTCTGTTTTTTGCCCTTTCTGCTATTGCAGTCAAACTTTTAATGCTATTTTCCTATACAATTTTGGCTATCCATCTTTGTCACTATCCCTCTAGCCAGTATACACCTTCTTGAAGTCTATCTAGAACACTTGAGACCAAACACTTGCATATGTGGAACAGCATTGTATTTCATTTGCCTTCTGTTTGTCTGTTTTAAATGCATGGTGCTTCTGTGCCCTCCATACAGTTCTGCTGGCTGTTTCACAAGTTGCACATTAACACCAGGTTACGTGCTGCCAAGCTGTAGAAGAATATCGGGAAAATATCAGGAAAAAGGGAGATGAGGGGAAGACTTAAACACGTTCAGTTCCAAAGTGGTGTTCGGTTGAGGCAGCAGGGGATGGTTGGTCTCTACCTCCCCTGGTTGTTGTGGCTCCTATCCATCTTTTTGCTCAGCCTTCCAAAGGTTGCTGCTCAGTCCCAGCCTTGATGTAAAGGCCATCGATGTTTTCAGCTATGTAGCTCTGCGGTGGTGGTTTTGCAGTCCACAAAGCATGGCCCATCCTCACTGAGTGGTCCTTGCTTATAGATGACACACCATAAGAAAATGGCATAATAAAGAACATTGTCCAAAGTGCTCCTTAAACTCCTTCCTTCTGCACCCTCCCTCTTTCAGACCCTCGAGGAACTCATCTCTGGGAATTTATTCGAGATATTCTTCTTAACCCTGAGAAATACCCAGGATTAATCAAGTGGGAGGACCGGTCAGAAGGTGTCTTCAGATTTTTAAAATCTGAAGCTGTGGCTCAGCTCTGGGGGAAGAAGAAGAACAACAGCAGCATGACTTACGAGAAGCTGAGCCGGGCTATGAGGTGGGTGCACATGAAGAAATTGTCTGAATGGAGAATCTGGTTACTTTTAAAAATGAGCCACAAGCAGCAGCAGTTCCTTTTTTTATTTTTTTCCAACAACGAAATCTCTCCCACTAATTTTGAGGTTGTAATGTTGCATTCTGCTTTGTCTTAATTTACTCTTCTGTTTCTGTATATATGTATGCACAATATAACATTGACAATATATTTTATACATAATAGATTTTGTTTCTGTCCACACTGCCAACCAAAAAAAAGATCTGATTGTAGACAGGAAAAATGGTTATAGCAAGCTGAAAGTTCATGTGCTATTGAACTGGGAAGTTTTAGATTACAGAGAACTTGTTTTTTGCACCAGTTTTCAGAACATAAACATTCCCCTGCCTTTATCTTAAAACCGGCTTACAGGTCCTCTGTGAAGATCTTTGTCCCGTGGCTTAACATTTTCAGAATTTCCCATAATCCATAGAAGTTCAAACTGTATTTCAAAATTTTAGATTCTTTCCTGGTCAGATTTCAGATGCAGGCTTATTTAGGGAAAAAAACTCACTACCAAAAAAACAAAACAAGATGAAATTTAATCAGGGCATGTAATGAATAGGGCAATACTTTGGAACTTGAAAAATGGTGGGATTCAAATTTATAAGATGATTAATGTGAAGTAAAAAAAAAAAACCACAATGATTTTTTTCTTCTTTGTCTTTCACTTAGATTAACCTTAGATGTAATAAAATATAATAAAATAACATAAAATAAAACAAACTAAAGACATTTCAGATAGCTTTGTGATTCCCAATTTGACTGTGGTCTTCTGAGACTGTAGAGGAATTTGGTTTAAATCTTTTTTACGTGTTTCCTTTAACAGATACTATTATAAAAGAGAAATCCTGGAGCGTGTGGATGGTCGCAGATTAGTATATAAATTTGGAAAGAATGCCCGTGGCTGGAGAGAAAATGAGAATTAAGGATGTCAAGAAATAACACTTAAAACACCTGGATGTAAATATTCAAAGACTATTTTCTTATATTTATGTACCAAACTGGGGTGAAAAAACAATTCTACTTCTGTCGGGAAGAAGGAACATTATCATTGTTGGTGTTAAAATTATTTTATTTGAAGTATGTCCTGTATGGGGAAAAAATGTACACAGTTTTCTGTGATATAAGATAACATTATAGAATTATGATTATTTTTCCCTTCTTGTGAAGTTTTTCTTTTTTTTTTCTTTTTTTTTTTTTTTAAGTCATACAGGCATAATGTGATTTATGACAATGCTGCGAGTCATGCAAAGAAAGGGAAGGAGCAAAATACTAGGGCATTTAGGCAGTATGATAATCCACTTTGGAAGGCAGCTGTAAGTGGAGAAACTGTAAAGCATCTCTGAGCCAAGTAGTCTTCTTCCATAACCAGCTGGTTTATAGCTTTCATTGGCCAATATCACTTGTTCCTTCCCTCCAATTTCTGAATGTTTCAACGCTTTGCTGGCTTCCAGTTGCTTTTATTAATCCAGACAGTGGGTTCCCCTTCAGTTGGCTTGTCCCAGCTGTAAGAGCAGTAGCTCAGCAAGGTGGGTGTGAGCATTTACTTGGAGAACCTATACTACCTCCACCACTGGGACCTTCTTTTGTAGGCAGAAGTTTAGGACTGGACCTTGCCTGGTACCGAGTTTCCTCCCTGACCTCCAAAGGGCATTCAACTCACACCATGAAAAGGGCTATTTGTTTATAACTGACTTTAACTATATTTGACGTGGACTGCAGGGAGAGAGTCAGTCTCAGGGACCAAAAGCCATTAGTGGAAGATGACTGTTTTCTGACTGGGCAAACTTACCAAAAGGCACCAGTTTCCCAGTAGAGATAATACTCTCCCCTACCTTATATTCCTAACTAAAGCATTCAAATACACGACATATAAAGCAGTGAGGAGGGGAGCAAGCAGAATATCTACTAATCCAATGGCATGAGGGAGAAGTCTCCCTAGTTCCTTCAAGTCATATGATCTCCTGGCAGGTCAAGTCTCATTTGGACATTTATTTTCAAATAACCTCTGAGAAATGTAAAACTCTGCTGCATGTAAAATACGAGTTCTCTTTGCTTTTCTCAAGTCTTGCTCTTTGTATTTGTATTTGTTTTTTGTTTTTTGTTTTTTTTTTTTGCATTAGTTGTTGCAGAAAAACCCACCAACATAAAGACACTGAGAAATTGGGGACACTTGAATCTGGGTCTGGGTCAGTATTTTGGGCTTGTCTGTATCTGTGCCATGCAGAGACTGAACATTCACTGGCAGCTTTTTCTTTCTCCAACTCACAAATGCTTCCTGCTGGCACCAGACACAGGCAGAACATGGGGAAATAAATCTAGAGGAGGCAGTTCTTCACCAGGTCACTGAGTACGTGAGATGTGGGAGTTGAAAAACAGGATTTTCTTGGTGATGTTAACAGAGGTGAAACAAAGATCGATTCCTATTCACTATTTCAAGAATCGGGAATCTGGAAAGCAATGGCAATTACAGGGGCTGAAAAATCCAGGGGAAAAGAAAAAGGAATATTAAATCCATCCAATATCCATTTCCTCAGGCATCTCTTGGATTTGAATCCAAATTAGCCAGAAATTCAGCAGGGTGCAGCTGGAGGTTGTAAGCCATTCCATTTTTTGTTTGTCTTAAAAGGGAATGGAGATGAAACCAAGAGACAACAGAAGTATCAATATAAATGGCATCAAATGTGCCTAGCAACAATTTGTAGGCAAACATAAGAGCCTAACTTGTTATCTACACATGTAGGGCATGTCTAACAATAGCACCACCTCCTACAGTGTGTGTGCCAAAGCTGTCACCATCAATTACCCGTACATGACAATTTTTACTTTTCATAACCTGGGTGGAGAGAGGTTCATCTAATTTACAAATCAAGTTATAAGCCTCTGTACTTCAAAGCATTTTTTTTCTCTCAGTGTCTCTCTCTCTCTCTTTTTTTTTTTTTTTTGGACTGACTGTGCCAGCCTTGCTTGCTTTTGCGCAACTCACTAATTTCCTCTTTTTTCAGCTTGATTGGCTAATTGGCTACATTCCACTCCATTTACCATCATTTTGTAGTTCATACAGCAAGAACCATGCCACCAGATGAGGAGAGAACCTTCTCTTTGTTCCAAAGATCATCACCTTCCTCCCCCCAACCCCACAGTTATTTGCAGTCCATTCATAGGATCAGAAAATCATTAAGGTTGGAAAAGACCACTAAGATCATCTAGTCCAACCATCAGCACGGTACTCCAGGCTTATCCCCCCTCACATTCCAATCCACTCCTTGAGTGAAAACCTGAAATCAGTGCCACCATCACAAATCCCATGGCACCCAGATTTCATCCTTTCTTGCTCTGGAAGCAAAAAGGTATAGCTGATGGCCATAGCGTTGCTGTTGTGCTAGATCTTAGGTTAACTCATGTCTTGCTGATTATCATACCTTCATAAAGCTGCTTTCTACAAGATCTATCAGCAACTTACCAGGAAATACATTGAACTTGTAATATAGATGTCTCACCCCTTTTTTACTGAGCAGCAGCTAAACATGCTTGTAAAGGTTTTGAAAATAAGTAGCTTCATTTAAAGCCCACTGTATAAATCCAGATAGTGATTTATGCTGGGTTGCAGTACAAATGCCAGTCTTTTACTGTCATGTCTTTCAGCAAGTGGAAATCCTGCAAGTTTATGTTCCCATTCTGTAGAACTTTTCAGACTAGGTACTTGTCATTCAGCATTACAATAGCACAAACCTGGAATAGAAGCCAGCCAACTTTTACTCTGTTTCACAAATATATTAACCCTCGCCTAAGACAAATACAAAGGACTGTTTAAATCTGCAGTTCCTGCCAAGGACAGATGCAACCAACCAAAGGGAATCTTTTTACAAGGCCTAAGCAAATGGAGAAAATGAAGAGATGAATGTTTATGTAAATTACTATTTAAACAAAAAGCATTTCTGATTGCTCTTTTATTTTGTATTTCAGAAGCTGAGCAGTCATATTTTTAGATGTATCCTTTAAGTTAGCAGCTGCTCAACTGGTAGCACCATGTGTATAGATTTTTATTGTACCATAATTTTTCATATGTATAAAGCTCTAGATAGGAAAGTATATTATATTTATATAGATACATGCAAATCAGAATGTCAGAGGTGTAAGCGTGAGCACCCCTCCAACTCTATTTTCTGCACAAAGTTAGAGCAGCTTACTCTTAAAACATCCTGAGAAACTATATGTAGGCTGGTGAACTACACAAACATTAACATGTTTAGTTACATATTTGTCTTTCTTTCCATGGCAAAATGCATAATTCTTGCTTGCTTCTCACAGCTTCTTCGACATACACATGTGGAAAAAACCCCACATGAGATATTTCTCTACTGCCATTGTAAATCTCAGCTTGGAGACTATGTATCACAGAATGGTTCTGAAGACTGTTTCTATTTTTGTGGACATGATATAAATTCAAATAAATGACTCGTGAAAGAAATTTTCTGGTGAACATTTACCTTTGCTTTTTTTATCTCTTGAGACTGGAATTATGGCTACAATGAATTCTTTTTGATATTGGAGAATATTTCAATATTAGAGAAAAAAATGATGTGACTCCCACAGAATCCAGTAGCTTGCTGAACTGATTGGTGGCGTAGCCCTTCTCTGGTGAAGCCACTGGATTTGCAAACGTCTTGCACGTCTCACAAGGCTTGTTGTCAGTGCTGTCAGCAGAGCCAGACTGCCTTTCTTGTTTGGCTGCTGAACTTCACAGTCTTACTTCAGCACTGCAAATTTAACTTCAAGGCATTTTGGAGCACGCACAAGGGCTTGTCTGATTACAGCTGGCATTAGTTGTACTTAGCATTTCCTTCACTGAATCAAAGCAGCTAAAGTGGCAAAGTTCTTTCCTTTGTGCTATTTTTTCACCTAAGAGATAGCTACAAAAACACTCAATGAAAAAAAGAAAAAAAGAGAACACCTCCTAATTTAGTCTTCAGTTTGAGGGAGAAAATGAAAAACCTGATACTTAAGAGAAATTCAGAGTAGGCTCACACAGCATTTGCACCCTGTGGCTATATCAGGGAAAAAGTTTGATTTTCAGACACAGGCACAGCCCTTGCGTTCAGCCCACAGAACCAGGCTGCTTCCCCACAGGGCTGTCGCAGTCTGAGGGCTTGGGAGTCCCACGTCAGCCTTCAGGAGGAACAGGAACCAGATGTCACACTGGTTCAGGCTGAGTTTTAAATAAGCATACAGCTAGTTTTCCATAAAATGGCTGGGCTTCTGTTTCATGCAGGCTGAGGCCAATATTTGAGCCACAGACAAATAAGAATATTGTCTGGAAACATGCAAATAAATGCATATTGAAAAGTAACCTTGTCTGCTTATGGCTGACAATAAAGCAAGGCTGCAGTTTACGGCCATGCTCTAAGGCCATGTGAAATAAATGTTCTGTTTGCAAATCCTATGGAAATTGAAAGTAAGTAAAACGTGCACTGGAAGCAGTCTTCCAGGCTTCATCTAAACCCAATATAAATTTATGTGCGTGTCTGTGACAGGACTGAGTGAGAATTGGTTCAGTTAAGTGAAATCTGGTACTGCAGAAAGATAAGCAGTTAGAAGTTACCAATACCAATGATTCCCAAGCAGTGTCATCAACTTAAAAGACAGATATTCTATTGGGGTTTGCAGCATTTTCTCCCAGGCTGATGGAGTTTTGCACAGGCAGCCCAAGTCCTGAGATGTAGGCAACTCAGCTGAGCTCCATGCCAGTCAGGAATTTCCTCCAGCGAGCACTCTTGTTGCCTTTCCCTTGATATTTAGCTCTTTCAGTCTCCAGACACTGTTTAAACATGTGAGAAAATTCAAGAAAATGCCAGGAAAACAAACAAATAAAAAGAACTTGAGAAAGAGACTTTGTGCATGGCCATGTCTTACTCCACTGAGTGCTTCTGTGTGGAATTCCAAAGGCAGAAAAAGAGTTGATGACATCCAAATCAGTCTATTTATATTCTTCCCACCAGAAATTGGTTGCAAAAATTAAATACAAATTAGTGTTTACAAGTCTAATTGCAACTGTAAAGAGGAGAAATGAGAACAATATACCTATATGCATGATATAATCTTGTGGGGCTAAAAAAATAATTATGGAAGCAAA